ACACACACAAATACACACACACACACACAAATACACACACACACACAAATACACACACACACACAAATACACACACAAATACACACACACACACACACACACACACACTCCTGCATGTCCTCTTTCATCTTCACTATCATCAGAGCCACTTTCATTGACGATCTATTGATTATCTCACTGCAGATCCTCTGTTAGTCTGTCAGACTGCTCTTTCTCATCTGAATCGGCTCTCTTGAGTCTTTGTGTTACAGTAATAAATCACAGTCACTCGCCTCGCTTAAATGAGGAACATATGTAATCCATTACAGCGGGAAGGAGAAAGAAAGAGAGGGAACGTTTCAGACAAAAGACAGAGAGATGAAATGTAGCGTGTGTGTGATTGAGTGTGTCTGATGCAGAGATGGAGGGGTTAAAGAGATCTTGACCGCGTGAAGAGAAGCAGTCATTTAGAGCAGCTCCAGAAACCGACAGGAACCTGTGGATGGTTTCTGCTCGTGGTCTGGACCTCAGCGCTGCTATTTCTGACAGGATCCTGATGTTGGATATACAACATGAACACCAGATTATTTCCAGAACACGTTAGACATTCTACTGACTACAAGTAACTTTGCAACTGCATGTCAACTAACTCTCACTAGAGTATTAGTAGACTGTGAGGTTAGGGTTAGGGTTAGTAGAATAAGTTGACATGGAGTTGCACTTATAGTCAGTAGAACATCTAAAGTGGACTATCGAACCCTGACAGTTCAAAGACAGTCAGTACTGTGAGTCTCATATTCCAGCATGTCTCCTCGTCTCAGTCACTTCACACTATGGCTTGAAGATCATCAGTCAAGCCGTTCTCATCCGTCGTCCAGGAAGTTTACTATGGTAGCACAGAGAGAAGTAACTCACAAACACTCAGAGTTGAGGTGGACATGTTTAGTGCCCTTAGCGGTTCTTCAGCAGTGATGCTGGGACAATAAGAGTCTCCAGAGTCGCTCTGCTTCTGTGAGTCTTTTGAGCGTTTATGTGTGTGACACCACCTCCATCCATCTCCATTAAGTTATAGTTATTCAGTTAATCTACAAATACTCTCAATTATTTCTCCAGTTAAGCACACACGGGACATATGGTCAGTTAGAGTGATTGGTTGTCCATTTTCTTGAGGATCAGAGTTGCTTACCTTTAATGCACCATACACTACTGTTGAAAGATCTGTGGTCACTAAGATAAAAAATGAGAAATTAATGATTTATTTAAACAAGGATGCATTAAATTGATCAAAAGTGAGAGTAAAGATGTTTATAATGTCAAAAAAGATTTCTATTTCAAATAAATGCTGATCTTTTGAACTTTCTGTTCGTCTGTGAATCCTGAAAAATAAAATGCATCACCGTTTCCACAAAAATATCGGACTGTGTTCAACATTGATGATAATCAGAAATGTTTCTCGAGCAGCAAATCAGCATATTATTATGATTTCTGAAGATCATGTGACACTGAAGACTGGAGTAATGATGCCTTTTATTCATCAAGAATGCATTAAATTGATCAAAAGTGAGAGTAAAGATGTTTATAATGTCAAAAAAGATTTCTATTTCAAATAAATGCTGATCTTTTGAACTATCTGTTCATCTGTGAATCCTGAAAAATAAAATGCATCACCGTTTCCACAAAAATATCGGACTGTGTTCAACATTGATGATAATCAGAAATGTTTCTCGAGCAGCAAATCAGCATATTATTATGATTTCTGAAGATCATGTGACACTGAAGACTGGAGTAATGATGCTGAAAATACAGCTGCGCATCACAGAAATACATTAGAGTTTAACAGATATTCACAGAGAAAACAGCTGTTTTAAATTGAAATAATATTTCACTGTTGTTACTGTATTTTCATCAAATAAATGCAGCCTCGGTGAGCAGAAGAGACTTCTTTCACAAACACTGAAAACTCTGAGCAAGCCCAAACTTCGTAACGGTTGTGAATGAAAGCGTCTGTCGATCGCAGTGTTTCGGCTGTAGTGTGTGTTCAGGTGGGTCACCTGCTTTCTCAGGTGTGGCTTCAGATTTGTGAGCTGTCAAGCAAAGTCTCTGAAGCAGTTGTTGTGTGAGATTTGGCCATCTGCTTCTCTTCTCTCATGTGACGGTGAGTGTTGTGTTTCTCATGAATGTACATCTCGTCTGATACGCTGAGGAGACAAACTCGCTTCCCATTGTTCTCTTTTCTTCTTCCTTTAAGCTAATAGTCATCTCACTAGTACCTACGGTGTTTGGACACGTGTTCACTGAAGTACAGGGGTTAGGACACACGTCTGCTCTGAACATGTTGTGTGGGTTTGTTCCTGCTCTTGTGTGTTTGATGTAGCTGAAGGCGCTGCTGGTGGAGCTTGTTTTTACAGGCCCGGATCTCAGCACGCGCGCTCTCAATCGGTTCTCATGCCTGCAGGAGCTGGATCTCTTCCTGAGGCCGACACACCTTGATCCAGGCACGGCGGGCCTGCAGAGACACGTCTGGAGGAGCCGCTGCGTTACTCGAGAAACCGCTCCTCTTTGACCTCAATGATACAACACATTCAGTGTCGAGGAATGAATGAAGCTCATATTGCCCTTCAGCAACAGTTATGGCCTCCATTCAGCTCCTGATGACTCAATCAGGTCCTCCTCAGTGGCTTGTCTGTATTGTGCTCCATA